CTGGTTCACTCCCCAGATGGCCACCAATTGCCAGGTCTGAATCAAGGCCAAGCCGAAGCCAGGAGCCAGGAGTTCCATCCTGGTCTCCCACGTACTTGGAAGATCTTCCACTGCCTTCCCAAGCTCATTAGCAAGAAGCTGGATTGGAAGTAGAGTCGCTGGAGCTTGAACTGTTACTCCAATAGGGTATGCCGGTGTCACAGCAGTGATTAACCCACTGAACCACAGCGCTGGCCCCTTTTGCTCCTTTTTCTTCAAGCTCACCGTCGGAATGACAAAGGTCACCCTGTGCTGGACCCAACACACTGCTGTTCTCAAAAGCAAGCCAGAAGAGCCGACGCTGTGGCTTAGTGGATAAAGCCACCACTTGCAGCACCGGCATCCCCTAGGGGCACTGGTTTGAGACCCAGCTGCTCCACTTCCAATCCAGCTCTCTGCTGTGGCCTGGGAAAGCGGTGGAAGATGGCCCAAGTCCTTGGGCCCCTGCACCCTCGTGGGAGACCTGGAAGAAGCTCCAGGCTCCTGGCTTCAGATCAGCCCAGTTCCAACCACTGCAGCCATTTGGGGAGTGAATCAGCGGATGGAAGACCTCTCTCTCTCTCTCTCTCTCTCTCTCTCTCTCTCTCTTTGCCTCTGCCTCTCTGTAATTCTGCCTTTCAAACAAATAAATAAATCCTTGTTTAAAAAAAAAGCAAGCCAGACGCAGCCACTGCCACCTGTGAAAAATCCTCCCTGAGCTCCCCACTGATCTCAGGTCTGAGTCCAAGCCCCCAGCTGGCTGCTCAGATCCCTTGGAAGTGGCTTCTTCCAGTCATCTGGGCTCTCTCCTTTGAATTGTATTTATTTATTTATTTATTTTTATTTTTTTATTTATTTTTTTTTTTGACAGGCAGAGTGGACAGTGAGAGAGAGACAGAGAGAGAAAGGTCTTCCTTTTGCCGCTGGTTCACCCTCCAATGGCCGCCGCTGCAGCCGGCGCACCGCGCTGATCCTGGCAGGAGCCAGGAGCCAGGTGCTTTTTCCTGGTCTCCCATGGGGTGCAGGGCCCAAGCACCTGGGCCATCCTCCACTGCACTCCCTGGCCATAGCAGAGAGCTGGCCTGGAAGAGGGGCAACCGGGACAGAATCCGGCACCCCAACCGGGACTAGAACCCGGTGTGCCGGCGCCGCAAGGTGGAGGATTAGCCTATTGAGCCACGGCGCCGGCTATTTATTTATTTATTTTTATCTGTGTGTTTGTGTGTGTGAGAGAGAGAGGGAGAGAGAGAGAGAGAGAGAAAGATTTTCCATCCACTTCCATTTGGGTTTACTCCCCAAATGCCTACAACTGCCAGGGCTGAGCTAGGCTGAAGCCAGGAGCCTAAAACTCCATCCAGGTCTCCCACATGCTACCTCCCAGGAAGCTGGAAGTGGAACTGGGCTGGGACTGGAATCAAGGCACTACGGCAGAGTGGGTAAAGCTGCCACCTACAGTGCCAGCATCTCATATGGGCACTGGTTCTAGTCCTGGCTGCTCCACTTCCCATCCAGCTCCCTGCACTGGGAAAGCAGCCAAGATGGTCCAAGTCCTTGTGATGTAGGCAGGCAGATAGGATCAAATTGATTAAATTTGGGAGCTGGAAGACCACGCCCCCTGTGTGATCTCAGCCCACCCGCCCATCAGGCTATGTAACCACGCCCCTTTGGAAGTGGATAAAAGGCCTGAAACAAGGTGGGCCGGCCAGTTTTCCCCATTATGGACCTTTGTTGCCCTGCGCCTTCGGGGTACGTGGCCTTTGGGCCGCCAGCGAGCTCTGCCTCTGCTTTGCTGCTTGGGATAAGCTGCGTGTAACTGCTCTTGGCCAAATGCTTGCTGCACATGGCTTTTGGCCACCTCTCTGCTCAGTGTAGATCTAGACTTCCCTTCTCTCTTAGAGCCCTCACTCTCTTACGCACGTCTCCTGTCGCTCCCCCTCTTCACGGAGGAACGACACAGGACCCTGCGCTGTTCTTTTGTCTGCTCAGCCCTCCCCGGGTTTGCTGCTGGTTCTTCCCGGGTTGGCTGCCGATCCTTCCACCTCTGTGGAAGGGCGGTTCCCCTGCCACTTTCCCCACCTCTGCGGGGGAGTGGCTCACTGCTGGCCGGCTCTCTCAGGGGCTGCCCAGATGTTATTCGGATGTTCCCTTTAGATGTTCCTGGTGCATGTTGTCTCTCTCCTCCTTTATAGTCCTCTTCCACCAATCCCAACTCTGCTACCCACACGCCGAGTACGCTGCTCTCCTCCAATCAGGAGCAGGATCAGCTCCTGCAGGTCATCACTCAAGTTGGCGAGAGGCAGCTGTGTAGAAGTTGTTTACTCCCTTCTCAGCGCCATATTGTGGGAGAGCAGATGCATAGAATAAGTCTTAATTCCAGTAACTTAGTCTAGTCCGAGTTGCTCCCCACAGTCTCCCACTGAATAAAAAGCTTAAAAATTTACCGTGTCGTCTGGTCTATCTGAGCCAGCATTCAGAATTCTTCTCTGAATTCATGGCAGTGACCCACACTGCTTATTAATTTCAGAAATATTAATGAGCAAGTCGGTATCACTTGGGCCCTGCACCCACTTGGGAAACCTAGAAGAAGCTCCTGGCTCCTGGCTTCGGATCAGCCCAGCCCCAACCACTGCAGCCATTTGGGGAGTGAACCAGCATATGAAAGACTCTCTCTCTCTCTCTCTCTCTCTCTCTCTCTCTCCCTCTCCCTCTCCCTCTCCCTGTAACTGTGCCTTTCAATAAATAAATATTTTCTTAAAAAGGCACTATGATACAGGATGTGGTTTTCCAAGAGCTGTCTTTTTTTAAAAAAAGAATTTTATTTATTTGAGAGGTAGTGTTACAGAGAGGGAGAGACAGAGAGAGAGGTCTTCCATCCACTGGTTCACTCCCCCATTGGAGGAAAGAGTTGGAGCTGGGCCAATCCGAAGCCAGGAGCTTCTTCTGGGTCTCCCATGTGGGTGCAGAGGCCCAAGGACTTGGACCATGTTATACTGTTTTCCCAGGCCATAGCAGAGAGCTGGATTGGAAGTGGAGCAGCCAGGACTTGAACCAGTGTCCATATGGAATCCTGGCACTGTAGGCGGAAGCTTAACCCACTATGCCACAGTGCTGCCCCCCAGGAGGTGTCTTCACCCCTGTTACAATGCCTACTCCTGAACTCTCTTCTCAGTCTCCCAAATGGCCAGCTCCTTCTGCAGCCTGAACTGCCTTAGCACTAACTGCCTCTGTGTCCTCGGGACACAGCTGGCTGGACACAGCTGGCTGGACACTTCCTCCAGGAAGCCTTCCTTCTCTACAAGCCAAATTAATAAGTGATGCTGTAGCTTAATCACCCCGTTGGCACTCTGCCTTTTTCTTACTTCTCTATTTATTTCTTTGTCCTCCCCAGCAAACTCCAACTTCCCTGAGGGTAGAGACCATGTCCGTTCCGTTTCTTTGCCTCCCGAGTGCCAGGCATAGGACTTTCAGCAAATGTATAACAAATGAGTAGTTAACAGACCTGAGCCAGGTTTTATGATATAAAAACCCATTCATTATCCCATTCGAACCTCAAGACAAACCCTTGGGGTAGAAAATTGGGTCCATTTTACAGCTGGGTAAACTGAGATTCCAGTGGTAGAGCAGCTCACCCGAGTTCAATCCCTTAAGCCTGAGGACTTACTGGTGAAACTCATTAACAAAGATCATCAACATCAACTGCCAGCATGTTTGAACTGAAGATGGCTGAGCGAGGGCCAAGGATTCCACGTGGTGATACAGAGACTAGCCTGAGGGAGCTCTCCAACCCAGAGCTTCCCGGTGTTTTCAGAAAGACGGTGGGGGCTGGCGTCGCGGCTCACTAGGCTAATCCTCCGCCTGTGGCGCCGACACAACGGGTTCTAGTCCCGGTCGGGGCGCTGGATTCTGTCCCGGTTGCTCCTCTCTGCTGTGGCCCGGGAGTGCAGTGGAGGATGGCCCAAGTGCTTGGGCCCTGCACCCGCATGGGAGACCAGGAGAAGCACCAGGCTCCTGGCTTTGGATCAGCGCAGTGCGCCGGCCACAGCGGCCATTGGGGGGGTGAACCAACGGAAAAGGAAGACCTTTCTCTCTGTCTCTCTCTCACTGTCCACTCTGCCTGTCACAAAAAAGGGAAAGATGGTGGGAAGCCTACAGAGGTGGAAATCAGAAATCTTCCAGCTGGAGTTGTAACTCACTAGTTGTAACTCACTTTCTCTCCTTATCTGGGAAACAAGTAGACTTTCAAGGCTGGGAAACCCGAAAATCCTTTTCCATTTCCTTCCAAATGGAAACTAATTTACAGAGAGGCTCAGTGACTCCGGCCAGCTGTTCGACAGGCATCAATTAAGGAAATTAATTTTGTAGCATGAACTCCAGCAGCCGGACATATGTCACTCAGACAACCCTGGATTCACAATTATGCAAATTAAAGTCAGTAGATGGTAGGCATGTCCATCTCTTGTCGCTGCTGGGTGCTTAACTCCAATTAAACACCGAAACTACTGCCAATTTTTTAAAAGATTTATTTATTTGAAAGAGTTACAGAGAGGAGAGACAGAGAGATCTTCCATCAATCGTTCGCTCCCCAACGGCCAGGACTGGGCCAGGCCAGAGCGACAGCTTCATCCAGGTCTCCCTCATGGGTGGCAGGGGCCCAAGCATTAGGGCCTTCCTCCTCTGCTTTTCCCAGGCTAACGGGGAGCTGGATTGGAAGTGGAGCAGCCGGGACTCGAACCGGCATCGCAGGCGGCCGCTTTACCCGCTGCTCCATACCGCCGGCCCCATGCCAATAGTATTATGCGTGCCACCAAGCCTCTCCACCAAGGCGATCAGAGGCTCAGTCCGCCCCGCCCAGGCCCCGCCCCTATACCCCAAGCCCCACCCTCTGGTCTCCGTGACTCCGCCTGCCGCCTGCGGATCCAGCACCGCCCTCGTTGCCATGATGATCTCCGCCAACTCCCTGGAGTCTCACGCGCCCGGACTCCTCCCGGGAGGCTCTCGTCGCCATGGTGATCGCCGGTTCTGACTGCCCGCCGGACTCGCTCCGCGGCCAACCCCGCCCAGGCCCCGCCCCCGACGTCTGGGATTGGTCAGATTCGCGCGGTTCCCGCGTGGCCTGCGTTGCCGTAGAGATCCCGGGCCGCGGGTGCGGCCAGCTGAGGCGGCGCGGAACTCGGAGCGTTCGCGGGCGCTGCGGGTGAGTCCAGACCCTCATCTGGTGCAGGCACGTCCGGGAGGCCGGGGTCCCCAGCGCGTCGTGTGCTCCACCGTGTCTCACCTCCCGCATCCCCACCCGCCCAGGAACGTGAACTCGGCCTGCAGCCCGGGGCGTCCGCATGGCCTGGGTGCCCCGCATCTGCGCCAGGCCCGCGCTGGACCGGGAGGGAGCTGGGAGCGATGGGAAGGGAAGGACAAGAACAAGCCGTGGGCGAGGCCATCCTGACGGCAGAGGAGGCTGGACGGGAGAAGGAGATGGAGGCGGGCGGTGCAGTAGGCTCGAGGGGCCGGCGCTGCGTGTGTTGGGGGGGACTTCCTGGGGAGAGGCCTGTTGGCGGGAACTTAAGCCCCCCGCCCCTGTCCAGCCCGCCCAGGTCACGGAGTGGGAACGGGCATCCCTCCCCCACGCTGCTTCCAAGGCCTGGTGTTTGCACCGCGCCTCCCACCCGGTGGAGGAAGCTCAGAGCTGGGTCTCTTTCCCAGAGACACCTGTCAGGTCTTCTGACTCCTAGGCAGGCCGGCCCACCCCGACCCTTCCGTACTCCCTGAATGGACAGAGATGGCCTGAGGTCCGGTGTCCCGGTGACCTCTGGCAGAGGGAGGCTTGGATATGTTTTTAGTTTGGTTTGGTTTTGGGTGTTTTTTTTATATTTATTTATTTATTTGAAAGAGTTACGCAAAGAGAGAAGGAGAGGCAGAGAGAGAAAGAGAGAGAGGTCTTCCATCCACTGGTTCACTCCCCAGTTGGCTGCAACAGCCAGAGCTGGCCAATCCAAAGCCAGGAACTTCTTCCGGGTCTCCCATGCAGGTACAGGGGCCTAAGGACTTAGGCCATCTTCCACTACTTTCCCAGGCCACAGCAGAGAGCTGGATCGGAAGAGGAGCAGCCAGGACTAGAACCTTTGCCCATATGGGATGCTGGCACTGCAGGTGGTGACTTTACCCACTATGCCACAGCGCCGGCCTCGTTTTTTTCCCCCAAGAATATTTATTTGAAAGGCAGAGTTACAGAGAGAGAGGGAGGGACAGAGAGGTCTTCCATCCACTGGTTCACTCCCCAAATGGCCCCAATGACTGGAGCTGGGCCAGGCCAAAGCCAGGAACTTCCACTGGGTCTCCCACGTGGGTTGCAGGGGCCCAAGCACCTGGGCCATCCTCCACTGCTTTCCCAGGCACGTTAGCCAGGAGCTGGATTGGAAGTGGAGCAGCTGAGACTTGAACCGGCACCTATATGGGAAGCCCGTGGCACAGGCAGCGGCTTAATCACTAAACCACACTGCCAGCCCCTGGATCTGGTTTTAAAGCTGATGAAAAGTTTAGGCAGAAACTGTGGGTGAATCCCCAGGCTTGCATGTCTCCCTAACTTTCTTGGAAATATGGAATTGCAGCAAATTTAGCAAGATCTTAATTGGCTTTTACTTGCAAGTCTAGAATTGAGCAACACCTCCTTTTATAAGATAGAGTGGGTGTTCCTGTGAGCTGAGCCGAGGGGGTGGATTTTATAAGGAAAGCAGAAACAGAAAACAGCAGGCAGATTGGTCATCCCGAAAGGACTTTCCTTCTAGGGTTAAAGCACAGGGACTCTACTTGTGCTCACTCGGGTAAAGGATGGGCTTTAAAAGAATTATTTGAGAGGCAGAGTTAACAGACAGAGGGGGAGAGAGAGAGGTCTTCCACCTGCTGGTTCACTCCCCAAATGGCCACAACGGCTGGAGCTGGGCTGATCCTAAGCCAGGAGCTTCCTCCGGGTATCCCATGTGGGTGCAGGGGCCCAAGCACTTGGACCATCTTCCACCGCTTTCCCAGGCCATAGCAGAGAGCTGGATGGGAAGTGGAGCAGCCAGGTCTCGAACTGGTACCCATATGGGATGCCGGCATTGCAGATGGCGTCTTTACCTGCTACACCACAGCGCCAGCCCCCTTGTACACAGTTCATTTAACGTGCTCTGTGCCCTGATTTCAGTCCACAGGACTCTGGAAGAATGAGGTCCTCCCTGACACCTGTGGGCCCCCCTGTGAGCCGGGACCGTGTCATCACCAGCTTCCCTAAGGTAGGGTCCGTGTTTGTCGGTGTTGCTCTCCTGACAGCTGTGGCCCCATCCAGCTTCCTCCCCACAGCCTGCACTCACCCCAGAAATAACAGCAGGTGAACCAGGGAGGCATGTCTCTCGCCTCGTTGACCAGAGTTCTTGAGAAGCCAGGAAACTGGTGTAGGCTTACCCAAAGCAGGCCGGCAAGTTAATGGTGACACCAGGCTTGTGTCACACAGGGCAGTTGTGGCATGGAGGTTCCAAGGGCTCAGACTTTGTAGGCAGACGGTCCTGATCTTGTCCCTGTGCTGTGTGACCGTGAGGAAGCTGCTCTGCCTCTCACAGCTGCTGTTCCGTGAGAATTCCTCACGTCGGGTACCTGGGCTGCAGTAAATCTGCCGTCGCGGTCTCCATTGTCATGACTGTGACCAGAACGGGACTCTCTTCCCCCTTGCCATTCTGCCTTCAGTTTCTGCTGAAAACTCACAATTTTCTCCTGCCTGTGTTAAAATCCAATATTGGGGCTGGCACTGTGGTGCAGTGGGTTAAGCCACCGCCTGCGATGCCAGCACCCCATGTGGGCACTGGTTCATGTCCCAGCTGCTCCTCTTCCAGTCCAGCTCTCTGCTGTGGCCCAGGAAGGCAGTGGAGGATGGCCCAGGTGCTTGGGCCCCTGCACCTGCGTGAGAGAACAGGAAGGAGTACCTGGCTCCTGGCTTCGGATCAGCGCAGCTTCAGGCATTGTGGCCATTTGGGGAATGAACCAGCATATTGAAGATCTTGTTCTCTATTTCTCCTTCTTTCTCTCTCTGCAACCCTGTCTTTCAAATAAATAAGTGAATCATTTTTATAAAAATGATATAAAATAAAATCCAATATTAAGGAGCAGGTGTGTGACCCAGAGGTTAAGGTACCACCTGGGATGCCTGGTCCCTTTCCCTTTCAGAGTCCCGGCATTTTGAGTCCCAGCTCCACTTCCCATTTCCGCTTCCTGCTAATTCATACACTGGGAAGAGCAAGAGACATCACAAGGACTTGATCCCCTGCCACAAATGTGGGAACCTGGATTGCGTTCCAGGCGCCTGGCATCAGCCTGGCCCAGCCTCACCTGTTGCAGGCATCTGGGGAACAAACCAACAAATGGAAGATCTCTGTCTGTGTGTCTCTGTCTCTCTGACACTCACACTCTCTGTCTCTTTTTGCCTTTAAATAAATAAACTTTTTAATATATTAATTACAACAGGAACAAATCAGCACACACTCTGAAGGGTGCAGTGGGACAAGATTTACCAACACTGCAGAGGCCCTGCCTGCTGACCCAGCATTCTATTTCTAGGAGTTTTCTCAGCAGGTTTGCTGGCACAGGTGTACAGTGTGCACGAGGCCAGGTACTGCAGATTTTTTTTATTGCATCTTTTTAAAAAAATTTATCTCGTAGCTGGCATTGTGGTGGAGTGGGTTAAGCCACCGCCAGCAACACCAGCATCCCATGCGGGCCCCAGTTACAGTCCTGGCTGCTCCACTTCCAGTCCAGCTCTCTGCTTATGCATCTGGAAGAACAGCGGGAGATGGCTCAAATGCTTGGGTCCTTGCACCCACGTGGGAGACCCAGATGAAGCTCCTGGCTCTCCCCAGGCCCAGCCTTGGCTGTTGTGGCCATTTAGGGAGTGAACCAACCAACGAAAGATTGAAATCTCTCTCTCTCTAACTCTGACTTCCAAATAAACAAATTTTTTAAAAAAAATTATCTGTTTGAAAGGCAAAGCATCAAAAGAGAGAGAGACAGAGATCCTCCATATACTGATTCACTCCCCCAAATGACCACAGCAGCCAGGTCCTGGTTAGGCCAAAGCCAGGAGCCCAGAACTCCATCCTGGTTTCCTACACAGTGGCAGGGGCCCAAGTACTTGGGCCGTCTCCTGGCGCATCAGCAGGAAGCTTATTGGAAGCAGAGCAGCCAAGACTTGGGACTTGTGCCGGGGCTCTGATATGGGACTCTGGTGCTAGAAGCTCTGGCTTCACCCACTGCTCTACAGTGCTGGCCCCTGCAGCAGTTTTTTTTGTTTGTTTGTTTTGTTTTTGTTTTTGTTTTGACAGGCAGAGTGGATAGTGAGAGAGAGAGACAGAGAAAAAGGTCTTCTTTTGCTGTTGGTTCACCCTCCAATGGCCGCCACGCTGCAGCTGGCGTACCGCGCTGATCCGAAGGCAGGAGCCAGGTGCTTCTCCTGGTCTCCCATGGGGTGCAGGGCCCAAGTACTTGGGCCATCCTCCACTGCACTCCCGGGCCACAGCAGAGAGCTGGCCTGGAAGAGGGGCAACCGGGACAGAATCCGGCGCCCCGACCAGGACTAGAACCCGGTGTGCCGGCGCGGCTAGGTGGAGGATTAGCCTATTGAGCCACGGCGCCACCTGCAGCAGTTTCTAAGAGCAGGTCAGACCCTACAGAAATGTCCTCCAAGAGGGGGCTGCGTACACAGTGCCACTTCTGCTGCAGTCGAAGTCGACCAAAGTGAATTGTTGGGTAAAAATGCCAGGAGTGGAACGGCATGTAATTGAGTGTGTATAGCATGCTCTCATGTGTTTAGAAAAAAGAAGAAAGGGAGACAAGAAATTTCTGTGTCTGTTCATGCACACAGGAAATACTTCTGGAAGGTTCCATAAGACCCTACTGTTAGCTGTCACCTGCATGTGACTTGAGAGAGACATGGAGGGAGATCGTCTCTCTGTGGAGTGACCTTTTACTGCGTTTATTTTGTCTGAGAAGGAGGGGACCTCCCATCTTCTAGTTCACTCCCCGAAAGCCTGTAACAGCCAGGGCTGAAGCTGTGAAGCTGGGTGCTGGGTCTCCCATGTGGGTGGCAGGGGCCCACCTACTTGAGCCGTCACCTGCTGCCTTCCCCGTTGCGCAGTAGCAGGAAGCCAGATTAAAAGCGGAGGCAGGCCGGCGCCGCGGCTCACTAGGCTAATCCTCCACCTAGCGGCGCCGGCACACCGGGTTCTAGTCCCGGTTGGGGCGCCGGATTCTGTCCCGGTTGCCCCTCTTCCAGACCAGCTCTCTGCTGTGGCCCGGGAGTGCAGTGGAGGATGGCCCAGGTGCTTGGGCCCTGCACCCCATGGAGACCAGGAAAAGCACCTGGCTCCTGGCTCCTGCCATCGGATCAGCACAGTGCGCCGGCCACGGCGGCCATTGGAGGGTGAACCAACAGCAAAGGAAGACCTTTCTCTCTGTCTCTCTCTCTCACTGTCCACTCTGCCTGTCAAAAAAAAAAAAAAAAAAAAGCGGAGGCAGGTCTCAAACCCTGGCACTCCAGTATGGGATGTGGGTGTCCCGATTGGCCACTTAGCCACTGTACTGCAACACCCATCCCTTCTTCCTTCTTTAACTCCCCCCTGCCAAGTTCCTGCTCCCCACACCCACAGAGAAAGGCTTCGAATCCCAGACTCATGGCCGCGTTCCCCCCAGGGCTTCCACCACGACAAAACCTCAGGCAGGTGCTCTCCCTGTAGCACACGACAGAGGTAGCTGAGGTGACAGGGACTGGTGATGCATAAGCCACGAGGAAGAGAGGCATGAGTGGCGCAAACAGCCCGGGTCTCGTGGGACCAAGGACCCTGTTTCCCGGGGCAGGACGGCGAGGCTCAGAGGCGCCTCTCACGAGGTTGTCGATGCTGTTCCGCGTGAGTGTGGGCTGCTCGACCCGGCTGCTCACCAGCGTGACTCAGGGACTCCTCCAGCAACCACATGAAAGGGAGCTCTCACGAGGAGCCCATTTTAAAGATGAGGAGGCCGAGGCCCCGAGCGGTTTCATCACTCGCCCTTTGCGAAGGCTCCTTCCACCGGTCCTGCTTGCCTCACCACCAGCTGGAGCTAAGAGGACAGAGGGGCCAGGGCAGCACCCAAACTGATGCCTGAGAACCCGGAAGAGACCCCGGGGCTGGGGCGGCGAGCTGTGGGGTCAAGCGGTGCCCGGCGGGACCGAGTAAAGAGCCAAGGGCAGCATTGCCGTACACGAGGAGCTCGCCGACAGCCTCCATGTTTCTTCCCACAGCCTCACCCTGTCCATGCTCTGCCCTGGTCAACCCAATGGCAAAAACTCGAGGTCATTTTTAGTTTCTTTTTTTTTTTTTTCTAATTATATAACAAAGCATGCATCCCACCTATGTCCTGATGACTTTTTAAGTTTTATTAATTTTTAAATATTTATTCATTATTTGAAAGGCAGAGTTACAGAGAGGCAGAGAAAGAGAGAGAGGTCTTCCATCTGCTGGTTCACTCCCCACAACAGCCAGAGCTGGGCTGATCTGAAGCCAGGAGCCAGGAGCTTCCACTGGGCCTCCCACACAGGTGCAGGGGCCCAAGGACTTGGGCCATCTTCGACTGCTTTCCCAGGCCACAGCAGAGAGCTGGATAGGAAATGGAGCAACCAGGACTCGAACCAGCACCCACATGGAATGCCAGCACTGCAGGTGGCCGCTTTACCCAGTACACCACAGCGCCAGCCCCTATTTATTTATTTTAAAGAATGACAAAGAGTGAGAGAAAGAGAGAGCAAAAGATCTAACATCTGCTGGTCACACCCTTAATGGCTGCAGCAGCCTGGGCCAGACAGGACTGAAGCCAGGAGCTCAGAGCTCGCTCCAATCAGATCTCCCCATGTGGTGGTGGGCACCCCATACTTGAGTGACTGTCTGCTGCTTTCCCAGGGCACTGGATCAGAAACAGAGCAAGCCAGATTGGAACCAGCACTCCAATACAGGATGCCCACATCGCAAGCGGCAGCTTAACCCACTGTACCACAACACCGGTGCCAATTTATTTATTTGTCTGAGAGGCAGAAAGACAAAGGGACAGGGACAGAGAGAGCACCCATCTGCTAGTTCACTCCCCGGATGCCTGAAGCGGCCTCTCAGCTGGTGCCAGGACTCAATCCAGGTCTCCCACAGCAGGTAGCAGGGACCCAATTCCTTGAGCCATCACTGCTGCCTCCTGGGGTCCACATTAGCGGGAAGCTGGAGTCAGGAGCCAGAGCTGGGTGTTGAACCCAGACCCTCCAATATGGAATGCTGGTGTCTTAACCGCTAGGCCACACGTCTGGCCCTCATCCCGTCTTAATAGCCAAATACTAAGACACTCCCTCGCTGCCCAGCTTGGGGTTGGAGCTGCAGCCTGGCGGGAGGATGTGCCCATCTGTCTGTCTGTCTGTTTCTTTGCAGTGGTACACGCCCGACGCCTGCCTGCAACTCAAGGAGCACTTTGACAGACAGGTCAGCACAGCCTGCCAGCGCCGGGACACGGGGACTGTCGGGTGAGCCCACGGGGCGCTGGGTGGGAGCAGAGACAGCGAGAAGGAATGAGCGCGTGAATGACCGTGTGAACGGACGAATGAGCAGACGAAACACCACTCCTGCCCAGGTGCCTGTGTGTGGGGCAACCTGCCCTTTGCTCACCGAGTCCCACAGTGACTGGGCTGTCAGGCCGAGGCCGTGGCGCAGGTGCATCTCCTCTGTCTGCCCCACCTCCCGTGCTTTCCCGTCCCTTGCTGGTCAGTGCCAGGACCTCGGGGAGCCTTCTCTGACCCCCCACCCCACTGCCCCCGATGCCCAGCCCCTCCTTTGTGCTTCTGAGCCCCAGGAACTCAGCTCACAGGTTGTGGGTTTGACTTTCTGGATGTCACCAGAGCTGGCCTGTCTTATTCCTTGTTCTCACGCTGGTAGCACCAGACACCAGTGGCACAAGGGTTTTATAACAATTGTTCTGTTTATTTCTTCTTTTCTTTCCTTTTATTTTTCAAAAAATATGTATTTGAAAAGCAGAGTTACAGAGAGAGAGAGAGAGAGAGAGAGAGAGAGAGAGAGAGGAAAGAGAGATCTTCCATCTGCTGGTTTACCCCCCAGATAGTTGCGGTGGGCTGGACCAGGCCAAAGCCAGCAGCCTAAAACTCCATCCAGGTCTCCCACGTGGGTGGCAGGGGCCCAAGGACTTCCACTTCCAGGTACTGGTGAAGCATCCTCCACTGCTTTCCCAGGTGCGTTAGCTGGAAGCCATTTTGGAAACAGAGTAGCCAGGACTCAAACTGGCATTGGATATTTGAGATGTGGCGGCTTAAGCTGCCAGTGCCACAACTCGGACCCGAGCTACAGGAACTCTTAAAGCATTGTCAGCAGTCCCGGAAGTGCCAGCACAGAAGGCCAAATCAGAGACAGAGAGAGGGAGAGAGAGACAGGGTGGCTAGGGAGCCCAACAGGTCCAGAGCTGATTAGCCTCAAGCCACAGCCCAGATGTGCAGAGCCCAGGTCCCTTTCCGTGGCACACCCCTCGGCTTGTCTGACCCTTCCGGACCCCACTGAGTGAGCAGGTGATGGTGTCCTGGTCAGGGAGTTCCTGCTTGTCAGGAGCCAGAGCCCGCACAGGTGCACAGCCCCAGCGAGTGCACAGGAGGCTGCAGGGGCGGCCTACCCACTCCTGGGCCCCCGTCTTCCTGTACCCTCTGCATGGCAGCTCCCCCCTGCCAGCTTAGACATGGCTCTTGGCTGCCACAGCCCCACCCGGGGTCTTTCTCTGACATTTTTATGACATTTTATGACTTGTCCCTCGTCCAGCAGAGAGCCATCTCTGGACGATGCCATCCCCAGCAGAGAGCTCAGGGAAGGGAAGGGGCCCCGTGTTGCAAAGATGTCCTTGAACCACACCCAAGAGCAACACGGGCATATTTCTCACAGGCTCCAGCTGTCCAAGGTGGTGGTCGTTGGCGATCTCTACGTGGGGAAGACCAGCCTCATCCACAGGTGCGCCCTGCCGGCACCAGGTCGGCACACCTTTACCTGGGAGGCCCAGAGAACAGCCAGGGGGCCGCTGGGAGCCCCTCCCCCTCGGCCTGGTGGGCGGTCTCTTGCTGTGGGTGTTGTCTGCCACCCGACTTCACGAGCAAAGCTTTTGCATGTGTTCCTGTCCGAAAGGACGCCCCTCTGACAACCACGTCCTCGCCCCCACAGGTTTTGTAAGAATATGTTTGACCGGGACTACAAGGCCACCATTGGGGTGGACTTTGAGATTGAGCGCTTTGAGGTGGCCGGGGTTCCCTACAGCCTCCAGATGTAAGTCCCATCTTCGTCAACAAGGTCATGTTGTGCCAGTTCCCACCCTTGGCTCACGGGAGGCCTTCCCAGAGGCACGTGGGAACGGCCTAGGCGAGTTCCTTCTCCCCTGTGCCCCAAGGCACTCAGCAAGGCCCTGTCTGGACAAGCAGGGCCTGGGTTGGATGTGTGGAACTGGGCCTCCCAGCTCCCCAAGTCCCCAGCCCACACACCCGCTCCATCCCTGTCATGGTCTCGTGTGGGTTGTCAGACCTGCCCACCTGCTTCCACCTCCCAGTGGCCTCCGGCTCCTGCCCCTCTGCCACCTGGAGCTCCCATGATCCCACTCTGCAGAGACCCTGCCATCCAAGTCCCTTCCTCAGGCCTGGGACGCTCAATGGCTGCCCCTGCTCCACCCACTTTTCTTGGCCACCCCCCGACCCTCGGTCTCAATCTCCAGGTCTCTGTTCCTCCCTGGGTTCATGCCTCCATCGCCCTTGCCTGCCTGGGCTCAGCCTGCAGATCCTGTGGGTGTCCATTCCTAACTGGTGACACAATGCCCCCGTGTAGTCCTGGGCCACATGGTGCCCATCCTGCCCGGGGAGAATACAGCAGCAATCAGGAGCAAAGGAGGCCGTGGCACATGGGGCCGTGGGCCTCAGGGACCTGGAGGCTGACGGATGCCAGGGCGGGGCAGCCCAGGGGGAGCCATGCAAGGAATGGCTGAGGCCAGCTCACTGCCTTGGCCACAGTAAAACAGGGGCTCTGTCCTTATCTTGAAGCCACTGCCAGCTACCCTCTGGCCCCCTCCCAGCTGCCTACCCCTGCATCTTCAGAAAGGAAGGAAAATTTATGAGGGAATTAATGAAAGAATGAAGCCCAAAAGGCTGCATCATGCTAGATCACTTGATTAAAAAAAAAAAAAAAAAAAAACAGACCATCCATGGATCGTTTCAGACTTGTCTACACTTCCATTTCCTGAGGAAGTTAAACTGTGGTCTCATGGATGGAGCGTGGATTTTCAGACTCACCTTGCACATAGACCACCTGCCCTGTTCCCAGCCAGAGCCAATAGATCTTGGCATGTTCACCTTCCCCTCTGCCATGCTGTGCCCCTGGCAGACATCACCAATCAATGATTGCATTCTCTTCTGTGGACACAGTGCTCCACTTCCGAGCTCTTCTCAACATGGTGCTCCAGAGAGCCAGAGCTGACTGATCCGAGCGGCTGGGGAGTGTCCCTGTCAGACACTCCCACCCCCACACTGAAGCAGGGGCTCCTGCCACACCTGAGCACGTGGCAGAGCCACAGTTGGAAGCCCAGCTTGGAGCCCAAGGCCTCCTCTGAGGTGAACTTCCATCGCCATATGCTCCATCTGCAGTCAGAAGGGCCTGAGCTGCAGCTCCGTGCAGGCAGGGGACTATGCCCCTCCCCCCACAAGCCTGCCCAGGGCACCCACAAAAGCATCATAAGGAGCTGGGGACAGGAATGGCTGGCTCCCAGCAGGTACTTCCTAGAGGCTGTGCACCTGCAGGCCCTGAGCCTCCTACACACACACACACAGTCCCACTCGCCTGTCGGCCTAGAACACTGCGACTGCTTAACCTGCCCCCACTCTTTCCCTTCCCCTCTCTCCCATGGCACAGCTGGGACACAGCCGGGCAGGAGAAGTTCAAGTGCATCGCGTCCGCCTACTATCGCGGTGCCCAGGGTGAGTAGTTGTGCCAAGGCAGGGCCCTCAGCCTCAAGCAGCAGTGGGAAGCCCAGGTCCTCTGCAAGGGTGCTGAGCTCCTGTCCCCCTTGAGCCACTGAGAAAACACTGGGGACAGGGAAGCCACCTCCAAGCTGGGGCCCTTGGCTGGCTTCAGGGTCCCTGTGGTGGAGGGTGCACGCCTTAAGTCGCAACCCCAGTCTGGAGAAGGAGGCACTGAAGACATCTCAAGACTCCAGGGAGGTGGGGACAGGCTCGTCTAGTCTCAGCAGGGGGTGGGGGTGGCTAAAGCCGGAGAGGAGGGGCAGAAGGTGGGCCATAGTAGGACTGGCAGGACCCAGGTGGGGGCCGGCAGGGCCAACGGCAGACCAGGCACTGGGCAGGACTTTGGGTGGCAGGAAAGTCCCCACGCCGACCCCAGCCTCCCGGGAGGAAGACAGGACGGGATCGGAGCAGGAGGCTTGCAAGGGTTGCCCAGAGCATTCTGAGCCAGACTCGAGATGCGTGAGGCCCGGTTACGCCTGCGCAGTAGTGCAAAGCCACAGCACGCTCATTCAGATCTGAAAGCGGCAGAAACAGGAAACACACTCCGCGAGCCTGAGCCTGGGGGTCAGAGCTCTGGCTTGGTCACGTCCACGATGGCTTCCTGCACCCGTTACCTCTGCAGGCCTCTCTCTCCCAGGGCAGCCACCCCCTGGGAAGAAGAGGTGTGAGGCACCTGGCACACCCCTGCCAAGGCAACCAAATGCCTCATTGCCATTGTCATCTCCCTCTGCCCGGTCCCACACACCACTAGAGGCAGTAGAGAGCCAGTGTGTGCCCACAGTCATCCTGGTGGGGCTCCTTTAGGGGTACCACTCTCAACACAAGGGGCCAGGGTGGGGTCGCATCTCCCAGTTTTCCTCCCACCCAGCCCCACCAGTTGTCTCCCTCCAGCTGGTTGCTGCCACTGGTTGTAAGTGCCCCATGTCAGACTCCAGACCAACAGTTTTGCCAAAAGCTGCTCAGGTTGAACACCCCCCACCTCCGGTTGACAGGCGGGGAAACTGAGGCTCTCAACCATTAAGACCCTCCCCCCGACTGGTGCTAACCTTTGCCCTAAGTGGCACAGGGTGTCTGACACCAAAATCCACCCACTGCTTCCTGCTCCCTGCAGGCAGGGGAGGGCGGGTCTGTGGGACAGCCAGAGTTGTCTCCTCCCCAGGGCCAATGCCTGGGGCCACCCCAGCAGTTGCTCAGGATCCGGGGGACCCTGGGAGCAGGGAATGCCCCAGTGGAGTCCCCTGGGTCTCCCTCTTGGCCTTTCCTGCTGCTGATTGGCTGTGCTTCCCCCTGCCCCCCACTGCGTGTCCAGTGATCGTCTCGGCCTTTGACCTCACCGACATACAGACCCTGGAACATACCAGGCAAGTCCCAGGCACTGTGGCCTCAGGGTCCCCCAAAGCTCAGGAGACTGCCCAAAAGGGCTTCCCAAGACCCTGGGCTGGTAGGCTGGGCCCCCGGCAGTAGGTGTGAGTTAACTGGGCAAACTTTGTCCAGACCAGCTGCCCACAGGCCACTTCCTGTCCAGTTGCCCTCTTACCCCTAGAGACTTGCTTCCCAGGGGGCACACGGCCAGGGCAGCCCCATGGGGGTGGGGGGTGGGAGGGAATGTGTTCCCAAGGGCCGCGCCTCGCTTTAGTCACCTTCACTGCAGTCATCATGTTCACTTTGCCCTGGTCCAGGACATGAATTTGACCTTGCTGTCTTGGGCAGAGATGTGGCCCATCCCAGCGCGGCCGGAGGTTGGGGGGAGCATCTTGCTTCTATCTGGAACAGTCCAGCAAAGCCCCGATCCTATGTTTATTCCGAGTGTTCACACCCAGCATCTCAAACCCTGTGAATAAGAGGCCAGGTGATCTTTTGAGCTGATTGCAAAGCAGGATTCGCCCAAGGTCTCACAGGGTAAAGGCAGAGCCAGGGCTAAGGCGGGGGGGTGGTCTTCACTGTCCCCCACCAGGCCCAGCACCCTCCTCTGGCAGCGTGGGCCAAGGGACCCTCCCTGCACCTCCCCGCTCTGTGCTCCCAGCCCTGGAGGCTGCACCCTGTCCCCTAGTCTTCTGTAGGCCCCTCTGGGTAGGGGGGTGACATGTCTCTGCCCATGTCACCCCCACCCCACCCCGGTACTTTCCAGACAGTGGCTGAAGGATGCACTGAGGGAGAACGAGGCAGGCTCCTGCCTCATCTTCCTCGTGGGAACCAAGAAGGACCTTCTGGTGAGTGGAGCGGTGTTGGGGCCGGGAGGGCCGTGGGCGAGGAGCAGTGGGAGGGACTCACACGTCTAAAGTTGGAGTTCAAAGACACGGGTTTTGGGGCTGAAGGGGAAGGGACTCCAGGTCCCTGTGCTGCCTCCCAAGAGAAGGGTGGACCCCCTCCCCATGGTGAGGCCGCCCCATTGTCCTAGGGTGAGATGGGGGAGCCAGGGTGGGGAAGAGGCAGGGGCATCCCTGCCGGAGGCCGGGACGCTGGGTCAGCCAGGTACTTCTCGCAGTCAGGGGCGGCGTGTGAGCAGGCAGAAGCTGAGGCCGTGCAGCTGGCCCGTGAGATGCAGGCCGAGTACTGGTCAGTGTCAGCCAAGACAGGTGAGTGGGCTTGGGGCATCGCCGTGGTGGGTCCTCCTGGGGCTCTGGCATGGCGTGGGGCCTGGTGGCACCTCTATCCCTTTAGAAGGAGTCTGGGAGTCCTGCCTCATGGGTGGGTGGAGGACAGTGCCCCCACTACCACCTGGGAGGTAGGCTCTGCTTCCCCCTGCGGAGTTACCCCTCAGGTCCCAGGGGAAGAAGTGGCAGGGCTGGGAGCCACACACAGCCCTCACCTGGAACCTGTACATGGTGGCTGTGTGGCCGCACCTGGCAGGTGGGAGGGACCAGAGATGCGGGAGCTGCTGCCCCTTCTGGGTTTTGTCTAAACACTGAGCTGTTGCCGCCTGGCCCCGGCTCTCACCTGTCCCACTCCTCACTGCTCCTCCCTGGCCTCACCGGCCCCCCTCTAGCCCTGGGCAAGCTGCCCGGCCTCGTCCAGCCTGAGTCTCTCCGCCTGGGAAGCTGGCTGGCGCCGTCCATCTCATTTCCTTTGTAATGAAAACACGTGCTTTAAATTACAAACGCCAAGGAGGAAGAACTAGGGAAGTTGCGGGTAGTTGCGGGGTATGTGGAATCCTGTGCAGTCCCTGGCCCAGAGGCAGCTCCGGGGGCTCAGGAATCGAGCCCCCTGGCGGAGGGGGAAGTGGATGTCTGGCCCTCAGGACTGAGCGCTGAGCGCAGCAGCACCTCCTCCAGCCCAGCGCGAACACCTGGCAGTGCTGTGCCAGGTGCCCCCTTGCTGCTCCGTCCCAACAGAGGTCGCTCGTGCCCTGAGGACCCACCCTCCTTCGTCAGAGTAACAGCAAGCTCACCGTGCCCCGTGCGGTTGTGCAGGTTGTTAACTGCACAAAGGCAGAGTGAGTAAGTGTGTTTGGGACTGGAACCCTGGCTGCTCCCTGTGCAGCACCTCCACCTGTAGGAGGGGGCACAAAGATGCCTTGTAGGGGCCAGCAGCATGGTGAGCCTCACGGACCCACTGGACAGGCATGGAGACAGGCGCAGGCAGCAACTGCCCCTAGCGGGTGGTCAGAGGCAACCAATTGGAAGAGTAGACACAGGCAACGAAGACTCAGAGGTGGGAGGGGGCTCGAGCCAGGTGGGGAAGCTGGTTCTGCAGGTGGGCGGAGCTGCCCCCCAGGGCCCTCACTGTGACTGGCAGGAGCGCTCTAAAGGGGGTCCCACACCAGCCTTGGGGGAGCCCACCTCCAAACACATCCAGGGCATGGGCAGAGGCAGCCAGGGTCACAGCCGTGTTGCCGGCCCACAGGGGAGAACGTGAAGGCGTTCTTCAGCCGTGTCGCTGCCCTGGCGTTCGAGCGGTCAGTGCTGCAGGACCTGGACAGGAGGAACAGCGCCCGGCTCCAGGTCGGCGATGGAGACCTCATCCGTGCGTACAGGCGAGGCTGGTGGGTTGGGCAGCAGGCTCGTGACCAGGAATCCACGTCCACCAACCCAGGACCCTGCATTTCCTTAACCCAGCACCCTAATGTCCTCCTTTGACCCTCTGTTCTGGGCTGTCACCCAGCCCCAGGTCTGTAGCTACCCTGCCCCTGCCCACCAGCTCAGACACCTGCCTGGCCCTCCTGGCCTCCTAATAGGCTCCTCATGGGCTGGACTGGGGCATCTGGGGCCCTGCAGGCGTGTCCTAGGTCCAGCTCTCCCATCCCCATGCCACCTGCGATGTTCCCCAGCCTCGGCCTGTGCCAGGTCATCCGGGGCCTGAAGCACAAACCTAGGAACTGAGGTTCATGGCTGTGGCTGTCAGGGAGGGAGTGGCCCCTGCCCAGTGCTACAGGGTGCTTGGAGGGCTCCAACTTGTACCTCTTTCTCCCCTCCGCACAGGGATGGAGGGAAGCCCACCCGAGACCCAAGAGACCCAGCAGTCCTCCAGCCTGGGCTGCTGTTAGCAGGAGCCTGTGTCACAGGCCCCCACCGGCCCCCTGCACGCGCGTGGGCAGCGGCTTCTGTGACTGAGGAGAACTGATGTGGCGCCCCAAGCTCCACAGCACGTCTGCCTCCTCTCGGGCAGGCCAGGAGCCAGCGAGAAGGTCGCCACTGGCCTCCCAGGGGCCCCACACTGCCCCCTACTGGCTAGGTAGGGTCATTGTAGGGACCTCCCGAAAGTCCTCCCTGCAGGGTCACCCGATGGTCACCCTTGACCTTGAGCAACCTCAGGTCCGGACCACAAACTCAGGACAGCCACATCCCTCATCCGTGGCCTGCATCAGCGGGTTCCTCCTTCCCAGCCACCCTGGACGTGGCCTCAGAATCCTCACCACAGCGTTCCAGGCAAGCGGGACTTGTCCGAGTCAGCACCTCCTGGCCCGTATGGGAGTCCCCAGGGTCCCGGCCTCCAGTCTGTGGGCGGGGAGGGGCAGCCCAAGCCACTGGCCCATAGGGATGACAGATTCACCCAGCCGTGCTGTGGGAAGAAGATTCGTGGATCACTCGCTCCTGAATCCGGGAGCACTGTGCCATGGCCCAGGCCAGCCCGGTACCCAACTGTTGCCTCCCCATCCCTCTCGCCCACCAGTCCTGCCTGTCTCTTGGGGTCTTTTGTAGTGGTGCCTGCACATCTTGGAAGTACTCTGGAATCCCTCTGAGTCTGACATGTCTCTCTCTCCACTGCTTCCCCTTGCACACCCACAGCACGCATGACCCTGCCCCCTGGCCCCCTGGCCCTCTGCCCTCCATGCCCATCAACACTGCCTCTCTGCAGCTCACCGCCCTCCACCTGCCCTGCATGCCTGCAGCCCAGGGGCTGTGCCCACTCACCGCCTACCTGGTGCTGTGGGCAGCCGGATAAGTGTTGGGGAGCATGTTGTGGTTGGTGCCTGGCACACTACAGATGCTCATCAAAGAATTAAGCTCATAACAGTTGCCAAAAACCAAGGGGAAGCCTGGGCATCACTTTCTGTTCATTGCTCCATAGTTTTGTAATAGCCATATTTTTAGTTTTTTTTTTTTTTTTTTTTTTTTTAAGAACACTCTTTTAAAAAACTATTTTATTTACTTGAAAGATGGCACAGAGAGGGAGGGAGGGAGGAGCACTGCCATTGCCCGCCCTCTCTTTTTGTGTGTACGGGAAGGTACTTCACAGAGTTTGTGCAAATGGCACTACAAGCCAAGTTTAGGGGTAGGCATTGCAATGCAGCGGATTAAGCCTCTGCTGGAGATACCAACATCCTGCATCAGTCGGTCCAAGTCCCAGCCAGTCCACTTCCAGTCCAGCTCCCTGCGAATGTGCCCAGGAGGCTGCAGATGACAGCTCAAGTTCTCAAGTCCTTGCCACTCCTGCGGGAGGCCCGGATGCAGTTGCTGGCTCTTGGCTTTGACTCAGCCCACCCCCAGCTGTATGGGGGAGGGAATCAGCACAGGTGGGAGGTCATTCTGTCACTCTGTCTTTGAAAGGCAGAGTGACAGAGAGAGGTCTTCCATCTGCTGGTTCACTCCCTAGATGGCCGCAATGGCAGGAGCTGTGCTGGTCAGGAGCCAGAAACTTCTGAGTCTGCCAAGTGGGTGCAGGTACCCAAGGACTTGGGCCATCTTCTACTGTTTCCCCAGGCCATACCAAGGAGCTAGATCAGAAGTGGAGCAGCCAGGACTCGAGCCGGTGCCCGTGTGGGATGCCGGCATTGTAGGTGGAGGCTTTTACCAGCTACGCCACAGCACTGGCCCCAATAATTTTTTTAAAAAAGTTTATTTTGGTGCAAAAAAAATTGAAATTGATGTGTAGTTTATTCAGAATATTGATTTCCATGAGATTTTTGATAACTCATGCATGAATTTCTCCATTTTTTGCACCCTAATAAACTTCTTTAAGAAGTGCCCTTGTGGAACACACTTCTTTATATAAATCACTTTTAAAGGAATGATGAGCTTGGTGTGAAACAACGCCAGAGAGACGAAATGGATGAAACGCAGATGGGAGGGCCCACTTCTGTGGGTTGCACTGCCCACTGCTGAGCTGGTGTCGCGGGCAGCTGGCAGCATTCCCCTGTGTCTCCTGTGTGCACGGCCCCTTCTTTGCCGGCTTGCGTGCAGCGTCGCCAGGGTAGCCCCACGCTGTCCACACTGCCTGGCAGCCTGCCCCTCTGACGAACTGCCACCCCGGCTGCGGGTCCTCTACCAGCTGCCCCATTGTCTTTCACATGGGCGGGCCCACGTTTGCCGCCCCCTGCACAGGTCTTCTGGTTTGCGTCCACCTTTCTGATTTTACCCAGAGGGCTGCCAGTGGCCATCCCTGTAGTTGCGTGAGGGTCTTTGCTATGTTCCACTAGCTCCTGGAAGTCCCCCTGTAGCAAGGAGCATGGAGGGGGGCAGGGCTTACGTAACCGCAGCTCCCTGCGGGATGGGGACACAGACACGGAGAGCTGAAGGGGGGACACCTCATGCCTGAGCACCATGTCCTCCTCTTCCTCACTCCTGGTCCAGCTCTGCCTCTGCCCCACCCCTGTAGGAACTCCGCTCCAGGTGGCCTTGCCCTTGGGGCTGCCCTGTATCTCTTAGAGGTGCCCTTCAGTTAGGTGGTGCCAGTCCCAGCCACCCAGGGTTGTGACCCAGCCGTGGCCAGCTCTCTTTGGGCTCCCCCAGCCCAGCCGCCCCACTCCCTGTCATAGCCTCCACGGTCTAGCTCAGTCCATTCTGTCCTGCAGCCATGGTGACGTATGGACATGGAGACTCACCCCCGCTCCCAGCTCTTTCAATGTTGTGTCCCGGGTGTCTGCCTACCTCACCTTCCTCCCAGCCCTCCTGGGGCCTCCACAGCAAAGGAGCAGCCACCAGGGTGTGCTCACTCACGCAGCAGCCTGGGGGATGGGGTGGGATGTGGGCCTTTAGCCAATGAACCTTGCCCCCCCCCCCCCCAGGACCAAAGGGGTCTTAAGCCAGGAGAGCTGAGCTCAGCTAAGATCTAAGTGCTGGCTCTGGTTTGAACATGATCTGGCCCCTGGGCTCAGGCAGACGTTCAAACCCCCAAGTCGCACATCAGTGGTACTAAGAGAACAGAAGCAATCCAGTTAAGTGTTCAGGAAGTGGGACTTGGAGGAGGTGCTCAGTTTCCACTGGGGGCGTGTCCCCGGAAAGCAGGTCTCAGGAGCAGGTTGCATACAGAAGCCTGATTTGAGCCCTAGCTTCTCTGGCTCACCACGCGAGCCTGCCTCTAGTCATCAGCCACCTTCATTGGAGGTCAGGCTAACAGGGCTGCCAGTCTTGGACTTGAACTCCCAGAAACATAAGCAAAATAAAGCTCTTCTTGTCATAAGCTTAGTTGCCTTGTCATATTTGGTTAACAGTGGTGAAAAGCTGGCCGCTGTGTGTAGAGGGAGACAGAGCACCGGGAAAAGGTGCATGTTCACTGAGTCACTAATTCTTTCTCTTTCCTGTGTTCAGCTTTCCTAGAGCCCTTTCTGGCCCAATCCACTGCATTCCCCCACTTAACTGTGCCCAGACAGGTGTCAGCCCAGCCCCATTTCACAGGTCTGTGCTCCAGGTGGGTGCGGGACTGGGTGAAGGGCATTAGCCCCAGGGCCACGCAGGTGCAGGCTGGGACAGGGAGGCAGCCCCTTGTGCAGCTCTGAGCCCTCGGGGAGGCTGGCACTTAGGGAATTCTGGGCTGGAGGGACTCTGGGGTGGACACAGAGTGACTCAGGAGGCCCAGGGCAGGCACGCATGTGCGATTTCAGAAAATGCACAGCTCAGAGGGGGGCCCTCACTCTCAGACCGGGTGGACCCTGGGTGCACCCCCACACACACGCTCAAGAAACTGGCGGCTTCAGGCCTTGCCCTGAGATAAGACAGCTCCTGGGGCTCTCCTTCCATCTGCTGTGGCCTCGCAATGGCACCTCCCATATGTCGGGCCTCCCCTGAGGGATGCTGATGGGCAGATGGGGAGTGTGGCTGTCACATCCCCCTCATCCAGGTGCCTCCGTGATACTCCAGGCACCAGCACCTGTCTGAGCCTGTGCCCCTGCCTCTGGGGTGCTATTAGCCAGCCTGCAGTCAGGGTGGGTGGTCTGGGAGGCGAAGTGAACCCAGGGCTCCCTCCCTCCTACAAGTAGGAGCACCCCAGGCCTGAGGGGGCTCTGGGCCTCTGCCCACTGGAAGCTGCGGCCTGGGCCATCTCACCGGCCACAGCTTCGGGAACAAGCTCATCTTGCGCCCTGTGAACTCTGGAAACAGCAGCCAGGAGCTCCCTTGGTGATAGCCCAGCTGCAAAGGCCTCATCGGTAACACATTCTGAGGAGCAGAGGGCTGGGGGAGCTACTGCTGAGGAGGGCCTGGAAGGAAAGGGCCACACCCCCGCCCGTTGCAACCTTGGCCGGCGGCTCCAGCAAGGGCTCGTTTCTCGCCTGGCAAGGATGTCGTACGGAGACCTCTGCTCCCGGACTCCGGGCCGGGGAAGGGCAGGCTGTAGGATGGGGCGGGCACTGTCCAGGGCAGCACAGTGAGCAGGGCTCAGAACAGCTGTACTGATGGCCCCAGCTCCCTGGGGCTGACGGATGACAGATGGCAGATGGGGGTCATGTGGACACGGGTTACTCGCAGGAAGCCTTTCTCTGGCCTCCAGCCAGCAAAGTCGTGGACGCTTGTGCAGACAGAGCAGGGAAAGGAGCAGGCAGAGGCCCAGGCTTTGAGTCAGCCTCAAGCAGGTGTTAAGGCAGGAAACGCAAACGCCGCTGTCTTTCTGCTGTCAACCGATGGTCCTGTCTGCCGGCACAACACTCAAGAGCTTGGATCTGGGAGGAGGGCAGGCTGGGCTCACGTCTGGGCTGCTTGTTTACTGCTGAGCCTTATATTTGAGTAGGATTTGGCTCCCCAAACTTAGGCAAATGCTTAAACCCCGAAGTCTTATGTTGACGGTTAATGGTTGGTGGATTAAGAGTGGAGACCTGATCCAGTGCTGGTGGCTGGGAGATGGGGCTGAGAGTTTTTAGGACATTGGGGATTTGCTCTCTGAAAGCTGTTCCCGGGGCCGGTGCTGTGATGTAGCAGGTAAAACCCACCGCCTGCAGTGTCGGCATCCCATATGGGTGCCGGTTCGAGTCCTGGCTGCTCTGCTTTTGATCCAGCTCTCTGCTGTGGCCTGGGAAGATGGCCCAGGTGCTTGGGCCCCTGTGCCCACATGGGAGACCCAGAAGAGGCTCCTGGCTCCTGGCTTTGGATTGGCCCAGCTCCCGCCATTGCAGCCATATGGAGAGTAAACCAACAGATGGAAGATTCTCTCTCTCTCTCGCTGCCTCTGCCGCTTTGTAGCTCTGCCTTTCAAATAAATAAATAAATATTTACCAAAAAAAAAAAAAAAAGATGGCTGTTCTTGCAAGGGGGTTGGTTATGCAAGCAGAGCGTTCTCTCTATCTCTCTCTCTTTCCTGTTTTAAGATTTATTTTATTTGACATAGAGTTACAGAGAGAGGTATGTCTTCCATTCTGCTGGTTCACTCCCTAAATGACCACAACAGCCAGAGCTGAGCTGATCCGGAGCCAGGAGCCAGGAGCTTTTCTGAGACTGCCACGTAGGTGCAGGGGCCCAAGGACTTGGGCCATCTTCTACTGCTTTTCCAGCAGAGCGCTGGATTGGAAGTGGGGCAGCCAGACTCGAACTGGTGCCCGTATGGGATGCCAACATTGCAGGCATCAGCTTTCCCCGCCACGCCACGGCACCGGCCCCGAATGCATGAGTCTCACAATCATCACGTACATGTTCACAACAGCCCGCAGGTGGAAACAGTCCCAAAGGCAGAAGCCGACGAAGGTATAAAGGAAATGCAGTCCATCTATGCGCTGGAGTATTATTCAGCTTGAACAAAGGAAGAACATTCTGACACATGCTGTATATGACACGTATGACATTCTGACTGCGCATGACATATACGAGTCTATGACATTCTGGAAAAGGACAAAAGATGGGAGCAGTGAAGACGGTTGGCGGCCAGGGATCAGGGAGGAGGGGGATGGGTGAGCAAGGCCAAGAGGGATTTTAGGGCAGTGAAACTACTCTGTGGATTACCATGATAGTGGATCATTGTCACTCATTTGTCTAGATGTGTACACACCAAGAATGAGCCTAACCTGTAGCCTGTGATGCCGGCATCCCGTATGAGCGCCAGTTCAAATCCCGGCTGCTCCACTTCCAATCCAGCTCCCTGCTAACGCACCTGGGAAAGCAGCAGGTGATGGCCCAAGTGTGCTTGGGTTCCTGCCACCCATGTCGGAGACCCTGGTAGAGTTCCTGGCTCCTGGCTTCAGCCTGGCCCAGTCCCACCTCATGGCTGCAGCCATTTGGAGAGTAAAACAGTGGATGGAGGTTCTCTCTCTCTCTCCCTTTCTTTTGTAACACTGACCTTCCAATAAATAAATACAATTTAAAAAGAAAAGAAAACTGAAGGGAAACATGCCCAAAGAGGCCCCTTCCGTGACCCAGTTTCTAGATTTAAAAATAGAACATCCGTGGGGAGGGGGCGTGGAGATGTCTGTCATCTCACTGCAGCCGTGTGGTCACCGTGTATACAGCTGTCCAAACTGCACTTGGCATCGTTCATCTACACACACATCCATCACACCTCCATGAAGCTGTCAATAAAACCCGAAAACCCCAGCCATTGTTTCTTTAATTGTCAAACATAGCCTTTTTCATGATGAAGACACAGGAAAAGTACAATGATGAAGGAAAGAAATGGCACCCAGGAGGAGGGCACCAGCCCTCCTCACTGGACTTTCTCACTCCCCTGGCCAGTCCCTTCTCTGTCTGGCTGCCTCTCACAACCTCCTAATCAGGCTCCTGCCTCTTCCCATCCAGCCCCCAGGGCTACAAACACCAGCTGTCCACTTACAACACGCCAATACTACAATGTGGGTTTTTTTAAGATTTATTTATTTATTATATGAAAGGCAGAGTGACACAGAGAGCAAAGGCGAAGATGGGCATGACAGAGGGAGAGAGAGAGCTTTCATTTGCTGGTTCACTCTCTGAATGCCTTCAACAGCCAGAGCTGAGTCAGGCCAAAACCAGGAGCCAGGAGCTCCATCCAGGCCTCTCCTGTGGGTGGCAAAGGCCCAAGCACTTGAGCCGTTGTCCACTGCCCACCCCAGGATGCATTAGCGGGAAGATAAGAAGCAGAGGAGCAGGGACCCAAGTGGTGCTTGGATATAGGATGCGGACATCACCAGCAGTGGCTTGACGACAGCCAGCCTCCGACACGCCCATCTCTACCTGTGGTCTCAATTGCCCCTTGGCACTACAGACTAAGCCCCTGCCTGGTGGGCAATGCTCACCTGTGGCCTCACATGGGCACCCTTGCTGGCCCCAGTGTCAGTCAACTACGTGGCTGTGGATCCTGCTCATTCCCCACACTCGGTGCGTCTGTCAGAGCCACCAAGTCTACTCCTGGAATGGGAGTTACTCTCCCCGTCTCCTGTGCTTCCTCCCTTGTCTGCGTCGCCACACCAGCACTGGCTGCTTGGACGACGGTGACAGCTCCTGACTTCTCACCTTGAAACCCCCAAACCCCACCCACCCACCCAGTTTTCCACACAGAAAGGCCAAGTCAGTCTCCCCCTCCTGACCATGTTGTCCAGTGTGGCTATATTTTTTTCATGTTTGATTTTTAATTTAGTAGACTCTAGTAAGTGATTCTTTCCATCAAATGAATACCAACTCAGGGTAAAAACACATTCTTTTTAAAAGATTTATTTATTTATTGGAAAGTCAGAGTTACACAGAGAGAGGAGAGAGAAAGAGAGAGAGAGAGAGAGAGAGAGAGAGAGGTCTTCCATCTGCTGGTTCACTCCCCAGTTGGCTGCAATGGCTAGAGCTGTGCAGATCCACAGCCAGGAGCCAGGAGCTTCTTCCAGGTTTTCCTATGCAGATGCAGGGCCCAAGGACTTGGGCTGTCCTCTACTGCTTTCCCAGGCCATAGCAGAGAGCTGGATCAGAAGTGGAGCAGCCAGGACTCAAACCAGCGTCCATATGGGATGCCAGTGCTTCAGGCCAGGGCGTTAACCCGCTGCACCACAGGGCTGGCCCCAGGGTAAAAATACATTTAAAGACCTAAATCTTTTCTTTAAAGATTTATTTTATTTATTTGAAAGGCAGGGTTACAGAGAGAGGGAAGGGAAGGTCAGGAGGTGTTGGGGGAGAGGGAGAAAGAAAGAGAAGGAGAGAGAGAATCTTCTATCTGCTGGTTCACTCCTCAAATGGCTGCAATGGCCGGGGCTGGGCCATGCTGAAGCCAGGAGCCAGGAGCTTCATCTGGGTCTCCCAGGT